CGCTTTACGCTGTCGCAGGTTTGGGATGTATGTTTACGGTCAGACTTGTAGCCTGCCCAGGGGGAAAAAAGTACGCTACTTGGACAATGTGGAAGGAGAATCCAGTGATTCATATAAGCTTCCTCACGTAACACTAGACATGGGTATAAATGTATACGATAACCAATTCAGTTATGTAGTATGACTAGGTGCCGAACTCAAGTTTTATCGCATCGCGTTTTATCCCATTTTGCGATTGCGTCGTTTTTTTTTTTTGAAAAAATCGCAGCGATGCGATGCGATTTAATCGCGCGATTTTTGCGATATCGCGATATATCACACTTTTTTTAGCACGATATAATGCGATATGCGAGTTAAGAAAATTGTGCGTGATACTTCCGCGTATCGTGCGCCTATGTTGCAAAGAACACGGTTTGTGTTTAAAACGCTAGCGTTTAAACGGTAGCGTTTAAACGCTAAACGCTCAGGAGCCGGGGGGCAAACGCCATGAAAACGCTAGGTCCGGCAGGGCCAAAAAAATCTTTCGGGCAGGGAGCTTAGACTAGAGACTACTGTCTAGGTCTATATCGTAGCAATAAAGAAGTTCAAACTGTGCAGCGGGGAGCTCTGAGGAGCGCCTAGTGCGCCAGATCTGTACTACGATCGACCCGTTTCTGGTGAGTAGAAGTATGTGAGGAGTGGTGTTGGGTTTCCTGGATGAGATGGGGTGGAGAGCGGTTGAAGCAATTTTAGGTGTTGGTTGGCATTGAACCTTCATTAAGTTTCGCGATGCTATTGGTTGGATTCGCCACATCGCGAACTGTCGCGGCAACTTTTTCGTTGCCTGAAATTTAGCCCTGGCGATGTGATATCTCATCGCATTGCGCGATATTTCGCTCGCACTCTACAGCGCGATATTTAAAAATATCGCACCCAAAATGCGATATGCGATTTTGGGTTTTTCAAAAATATATCGCGACAATGCGATATCGCATCGCCGCGATATAATGTGCGATAAGTCAAAATGAGATGCGATATCGCACCGCATCGCATTTTGACCATGTCTACGTAACACCCACTTGTAGTGCCACCTAGACATGGGCAAAATGCGATGCTATATAAGATGTACGACAAATCAGCCTTATTTTCTTTGTTTGTTTTCTTCATTCAATGCCCTCCTCTTATCCTCGCCCTCCATGGCTCTGGTCTCAGGTACCTCGCCAGCAACAGCTTGACTGGCGTTATTCCTGACTCCATCAGCAGCCTCACGAATCTTACCGCCCTGTGAGCGAGAGCTGTCTCCTCTTTTGGAGAAGCGGATCATAGCCAGGGCCACGTGTTGCCCTGCATCAGCTCAAATGGCAGCTTGTGTTTGTCACAAGGCTGACAGACCTGCTGATGCTCCCATTCACATGCCATAGCATTGCTTGGCTCTTCTGATGGAATGTGTATGCAAGGCACGTTACCTCTTCTGGTCGCTCTTTTCTTTGGACGCTACTGCATCTACAATAAAGGAATGGTTCACTTCACTAATTTGTTCACAAATTTGCTGCCTGGCCACAGGTTGGCTAATCAACGCACAGAAACACATCTGAGCTAGCCCACCAAAAGCGAAATGCGAACAGCCAACCACAATCTACCCGTAACCATGCACAGGACACGTGAGGTATAGTAATGCGAGATTGCTGGCTCCATAATGACCCACACAAATTGCTAGCTCGTCCCACATTCACAAAACCCCATGCATCCTGCGTTCTTAATGTGATATTTCTTCGGTCCCTGTATTTTTCCATCGTGTGGAAGCAACCCTCGATTTGGCTCCCTTTTATGGCCTGCAGACGTCTCTGGGGAAACAATCTCAGTGGCTCGATACCCGCAACAATAGGCAGCGCTCAAGCTCTGATCGAAATGTGAGCTTCTTGAATGTGTAGAGCAGGATGTCCCATGTGGTGCGCTACAGATATGATCATATGGTTGCACTTAATTACAGCGCCCATACCACTAATCTATGGATACACTTTTCCCTGTTTCCGCACTTGTCAGCCAGCATGTGCTGTTCTCCTCGTTCTCTCTAAGTCTCTCATCTTCTCTTTCTATGATCTCCTCTTCCATGGAGTCCCGACCGCCTTTCCATCAGGACCTTCAGTGGAAATGGGTGGATGCCACTTACCTTGTTCATTGAGATTACAATTGTTTCAAATTGTTTTTATTTCACCGGACCTATCCCATCCAGTATTGGGCTGCCCCCCAATATTCTTCTCCTCTGATTCCCCTCCTTTGCTCTAAGCCACCATTCATCCCTAACATCTGTATCTCTGTCGATCCCTACATCCTTCCCTCCACCCCTCTCCAGTTTTTATATCTCGTCACTCCCTCACTCTGCTCCCTGTCCAGTTTTGTCCCACTCCACTATCTCTCTACCCACGGAATCCACCTGTTGCCTTGTCCCCTGTTAGGGATTTATCTTTCAACGCCTTAGATGGCTTGATTCCATCAGCCATTGGCAGCTTGACCAACCTGACATATCTGTTAGTATCCCAAATCACCCCACTCGTCTATGGGTAGAAGTAACAAGGATGTGGGTACTCATTCGTACAGGGACGTGCCTTGTTGCTCATTCATTTTCCTGCTGTATTTGGCACCTAACTGTTCCTTATTTTCTTGTCCATTCTTATGCCGTCCCCTACTCCTTAAACCTTCCATGATGCACGTGATAACTTGAATGATCCATTGGTTCAAAGAGTGAATTAGGGTCACCAACCAGAAGGCGGTTGGGATAAAAAAACTACTCTAGGGTAGTAAAAAGGGATTTCACTCTACATGTTAATCTAAGCAATCTATATTTTCACAAGCCTCCTTCCCACTGCTGACCAGATCTTTATGTGAAGATCACTTGATCCGGTCAATTCCATCCACTTGCCACCCCCTCACCTCTGACATGCAAACCACAACCACAAACATCGCACCATTCTTGGCACCAACAACCTTCACCTGTCATTATTCCTTGGCCACATTGTACGGCTTTGGATTTTCTTCTTGCCGTGTCTTGATTAGGTGGTCAACTTAAGGGTCTTCTGTGAATTTAATCAACCATGTGGTTGTGCTATCTGTTCGTCTCTTTTTTGAATTTTCTTTTGCATTCTTTTTTATTGTTCATTGTGCAAGAAGCAAGGCATGACGTACTTTCCGTTCTTCTCTTATCAGAAACCTAGTTGGCAACAGATTGACCGGACGCATTCCTGAGTCTATTGGATACTTCAAGCTCACGAAGCTTGAATACTTGTGAGTTCTCGTTTCCTCTAAATAAGGTGGGCCGAAGCCAGACCACAAATGACAAATCTTGGAACAAAGAAGCCTTTAGTTATGGCCATTCTTTAACTAGTCTTACTTTTCGAGTGAGGGTAGAGTTTTTTTTAGTGGCTTGGGTGTAACAAAATACCTTACTCACCAAAATGTGAGCAGCCTAGCATTTTTTAATTAACCTATTGGAAACTTTGTTTGATCTATTTGCGGAATCCCCACTTTTTCCCGTGCTTATCCATTGTGGGTTAACGTGATAAGCATTTCATACCGAATGAACATATGAAGCTCGTTCCCGTCCATCCTGTTCCTTTCCAAGCATGATGGTCTATCATGAGCTCATTCTCATGCAGGCATGGTATCTACACGCATTAGGTCATGTTGGGGACTATGCCCGTTGAGAGAAGCCTGGGAAGTGATACTTGCTGCCAGCTGAACGTTTCTGTACGACCTGGAAATCGTGTCAGGACCATTGGCTCTGTTTATACACACTCATGTCAATCTGTGTGTGTGTGTGTGTTTTTTTTTTTCAGCTTCACTCTTGTCGTAGTATATGGTGTGTATAGGGAACACTGATTTTTTGGGTTTAGGATTAGGGCTTCTAGTTTTTCTTGGCCTTACATGCATCAGCCATGCAACCTTATATGTAAAGAAATCCATTATCCATTCCTATTTATGAAAATAACGTATTTCCGGGGACCAAGGTCCAGCTAGTTTGCATCAACTTTCCAAACCATGGGAGATTTGTACATGTGCAGGAGCGTTGATGTAGCAGTCACATGTCCACCTGACTACAGCAACTGCACAGTCAATCAACGTACCGCTAGCGCTTTCTGTCAGCAGTGCGATAACTTTTGCGTTACTTGTGGCAAGACAGCACCGCGTGAGTGTAACCACATCCCTCCAGCTCTTGTTTCATGCAATTTCAAAAGTGATGCTTTCTCCTTGTCGCAATGTTTTCAACTCTTAATGCCTCCCTTGTGATCCAATTTTTCCCACTTCTCTCTCCCTTTCCTCTGCTCCTTCCCCCCACTTCCCTTCTCCCCTCTTATCCCCCCCCCCACCCCACCCCCCATTTCCCCCATTTCGCCATCTAAGCACCCCCTCTCCTTTCTCCAGCACCCCCCTCTCCCTCCCCAGCGCCCCCCTCCCCCTCCGTAGCGCCCCCTCTCCCCTCTCCAACGCCCCCACAGCGGCCCCATCCACACCATCCTCCACCTCTCCAACTCCTCCTCTGTCAGTTGGAGCCATTGCCGGCATTGCTGTTGCTGCTGTGGCTGCCCTGCTACTGCTGCTACTAGGCGTGGTTCTATGTAGGAGAAGCCGCAAGAAGGGAGCAGCACGAGGAACATCCATGCCCAATAATGGAAGCAAGGAGGTCATAATAGGAGGGACAATACCAGGCAAGAATATATTCCCTAGATTCCAAGTGGTCAAACAGAAACGTTATACCCCCAACAGTTCTCACTCCTCCTACCCTCTCTGTGGAGAGAACTATTCTCTCTACCTCCCTTCTTTCTCTCTCAAGCGCCCTGTTTTGCTCATTTTCACCCCTGCTCCTTGCCCCACTTTCTGTTTCGTTTACACGCGCCACACACTTATCGTTCTATCATTCCTCCACTTACCCTCTAACATGCAGAAGCACATGGGGAGCAACAGGATCAAGAAGCAGCGGCAGCTGCTGTGGCAGCTGCAGCTGTAAGATGTCGAGAAGAAGATGTGGTGGTGGAGATGGAGGCAGCGCAGCCACATGTGTGCCAGGAGTACTCCCTGGAAGAGCTGGCAAAGGCAACGGCGGATTGGGCAGAGGAGAACAGGATTGGCAGCGGCAGCTTTGGGGATGTCTACAAGGGCGTGCCTCCCTACAGCTGCACCCAAGCGTGGGCAGTCAAACGAGCCAGAGTACTTACTAACGACTTCCAGATTGAGGTATGCTATCCTGGATGCTTCAACCGCTCATGAGAATTTTGTTTAACTGTTCGTGATATTTCCAGAGCTCGATTCCCTCCACCTGACACCACCGCGAATCCTCTGCACCCACTCACACTTCTTCCTCTTCCAGGTGAAAGAGATGGCCAGCAAGCACCACCCTCATCTTGTGCGGCTGCTTGGCTACTGTATGGATGTAAACTCATCCACAAAACACATAGAGCAGATCTTGATCTACGAGTACATGGAGAACAAGGACCTTGACAGCTGGATCGGCCCAGGCGTCTCCCATTCCCTATCTCTGGGCCAGCGGTTGGACGTTCTGATTGGAGTGGCAAAGGGGCTGCAGTACCTTCATGACTTTGGCATTGTGCATCGCGACATCAAGCCAGCCAACATTCTCCTTGATGCAAAAATGCAGGCATGTCCAAGATCCCAAGAAAGATAACAACTTATCTATTATCTCTTTTCATGCTTGCCCCTCTCCTCGCTTGTGCCATGGGTCCGTTCCACCATTGGCCAGCCAATTTTCGCGTTACTTCATTTTTGTACAAGATAAGCTCTCTTGGTTGTTTCCTCTCTTTCTTGCTAGCTGACCCCTCATCCCTTTTGATGATACAACATCTCCAGCCATTACGAACCAACTTTTACTCATTTGTGCTCATACATATTATTCCTACTATCGGGGTTGTGGCAGGCCAAGATTGCATAAAATTATATATTGTCGAGATTTCGAGAATCTGTACCAAGAGGTTCCAGAAAAAATATACTATGGTGTCCTCGTCTTCATGCCTCTGTGTTTGGTGAGCAGGCCAAGATTGCAGACTTTGGGCTGGTGAAGCTGAGTGGAGGCACCTCCATGGGCACCTCCATGGCGGCCACTCGAGTGATGGGAACACCGGGCTATGTGGACCCCGCCTACTACAAGACACACAAGGCCACCCCAGCAGCAGACGTGCACAGGTGAGTCCATGGACATTGTAGCGCAAGTGTTTAGCGTGAGATGAAGGACGTAACGTCTTGTTTATCAGTAGGAATGTACAATATGAACAAATTGCACAAGTATGAGACAATTCACTTCACTGAATACTCCTTTTGTGGTGGTTTTGTCTTTTCATGGGCAGCTTTGGCGTTGTGATGCTGGTGGTCATCACGGCGCGCAAGGCTGTTTACATGACAGAGGACAGCCAGATCAACCTCAAGCAATGGGTGAGTCTCACTTACACCATACATTCATTCAGTCAAGCTGTGCAAGCACGTTTTATGCATGTGAGCAAATGCATAACATATGCATTCGAGCAAGTTGAATATAACATACGCAAGAAAAAAAAATGCTACATGGATGCAACTCTAGGTTTGTTGTACACTAAATTGCTCCACTCCACAATGCACTGGAAATTTTGATGGTACTCGATAATCTCTTACACATGGCCCGCCTACACCCCACCCTGCAGGTGGCTCCACTGGTGGCGTCCAGTGCCGTGGCAGCATTCAAGGACCCTCACTTGGATGCACCGGATGACTTGGTGCTGCGCATGGCGCGCCTTGCCCTTACCTGCACTGCCATGCCCACTGCCTCCCGCCCCACCATGGGTCGAGTGCTGGGAGATCTGCTGGTGCTGAGGGAGGATGTGCTTGGGGATGAGGCGCACAGGGCTGCACGCCGCATTGACAGGGAGATTGGCGCCTCGGATGACTCCAGCTTTACTGCTCAGATGGCAAAAGCGGAGCAGATGGGCGCGCAGAGTGGCTCTTCCACCAGCGTGTGACTCGCTGAAGGTGGTTTTGAGTTAACTGGATTGGCATATTCTGGGATGGGTTGAAGGTAGTGGCGCAAGAGTCTGCTGTCAACTGACACCTCATGAAACAAGCGGCCATGCATGTCCTTCTGCTTTTGAATCAACTCAAGGTCGCAGAATCTGCTATCAACTGCCACCTCGTGAAACTATGCTCTCTTCATGCATATTCACTGGTATTTCCTTTTGCTTACTGTCATTCATTTGCATCCTCCCTCGACTTCCTTGTTAGACCAGCATGCTCTCTCTCGTGTTACAGATATTTCTCTGGTATACCATGTCCTGATGTGCACTTCATTGTGCCCTTCAGAATAAATTGCACACTGTAGGATTAGCTGAGATTCAAGTTAGGGACTATTCAAATGAGCCAGCATCAGACCTACCTCATGTAAGACTCGCATTGCACCGAGCTGAACTGCAGTGAACCTTAGGGTCAACCTTTTGCACTTCATAGCACTGCCTATGTCTGTCGCGAGGCGCAGGGATACACCCTGAGAGCTGATCTCTTTCTATCACCTGCAATCTACTCTATTGGCTATTGGAATGGTGGTGGCCTTTATGACACAGCAGCGGCATCAAAACATAATTTAGTGTTAAGAAGGTAGGTTAGGAGCTAGCTAGGCATAGGAAAGTAGCGGGATGTTTTAGACTATGAGAAAATGTCGAGAGAGAAGAGGGACAAGACTAGAAGAGAGGGATACAAGGAGTGAGTTGTACCCTCTACAGTAGGATTCAGTAGTGTAGCACATCTACCAAGCCTAACCATATATATATATATATATAAATATAATTTGACACACCCCCTAGGCTTGGTAGTGGCAAGCCCACCCCACACACAGCACCCCTATGCCCTGCAGCAGCTATGGGGTCGACCAGCCGGTCGACCCCTCGGCAATCGAGGTTGCGAGGTCGACGGCGGGTCGCAGCGGCGGCGGCAGGGCCTGCAACACCTGCGGCGGCGTCGAGGCACCCGGCGGCGTGGCTCACACTGCGACAACGAGGGGGAGGACGGCACGAGGCCGCCAGCAGCTGCGGCAGGGAGGAGGGGAAAGGCAGAGGAGGGGAACCGGGGGGGGGGGGAATCTTCAGCGAGGCACCATGGCTGGCGCGGCGCTTACTGGCATGCGGGCGAGAGGACGCTGCTAAAACCAAGCGCTGCTGGAGCGTCGACAGCGCCACGGCAGCACGACAACGCCGTCACGGCGTGGCGTCGACGCCACGGCAACGCGTTGAGGCTGCCAGGGCAGCCTGACGAAGCCGCCATGGCAGCGCGACATGGCCGTGGCGGCGGCGCGGAAGTGACAAGAGAAAGGAGCGTACGCTGCGGAAGCGTGAGGAGAAGGCCCGAGCGGAAGGGCCTGCTCTAAAACCATGTTAAGAATGTAGATTAGGAGCTAGGCATAGGAAAGAAGTGAGAGGTTTTAGACTAGGAGAAATTGCCAAGAGAGAAGTGTTAGAATAACGCAATGAACTAGATTGAGCCATACAGGGAGGTTTTGTGCTATGGTGATGTACCCTCTATGAGCATGCACCTATCTAGCCTATAACGTACACAAATAAATGTTGACACACCCCCTAGGCTAGACAAGGGGCAGTGCTTGGCAAGAGACACACAGCTCAAGGTGGCACTACTAGTCCAACCTCTGAGGCAAGGGTCTGAAGACCAGTCAGGAGAGTACAAACAAGACAAGAGCAAACAAGGGTGGCACTACTAGTCCGGCCACTGGAGAAAAAGCCACAAGGCCAGTTAGGAGAATATAATAAGAGTAGCACACATGCAATGTCCTAGCAATTGAGGAGCTACTGGAACTAGATCAATCTGTAGACAGTGCCACTGATGATCATTAGGCGCAAGCGCCTTAGTAAAGATATCATCTGTATTGGCACCGGAGGCCAAGTGAACTACGCGGGCCTGGCGTCGCTGCTGCAACTCGCTCAGGAGGAATTACCGCAGCTGGATGTGCTTCGCTCTGCCCTCCAGTCGAGGCTCCTGACACAGGAGGATCATGGCCCTGTTGTCAGTGTACAGGACCGGGCAGAGCTAGGCCGCTCACCTAAGTCTGTGAGCAAGAACGTCAGCCAGCGGAGCTCGTGTGCCGCCATGGCACCAGCGTAGATCTCAGCCTCGCAGCTAGACTGTGCAACAGACGACGAGCGGGTGGACCTCCAGGAGACTGCGCTTGCACCAAGAATTAAACAGTAGCCCTAAGAGGACCTGAGCGTCTCTGCGTCGTCGGCCCACAAAGCGTCTGTGTGCCCTGTCAGGACCACTAGCCTGCGTCCTCCTAGCACTAGCCCTATGCCCAATGTACTTGGTCGATAACGCAAAACCCTCTTCGTTGCCGACCGGTGCTGTGGTCGGTGTCTGCCTGTCGCCACAAAGCGAGCCGAAATGTTGAGAGGTTATGCGAGATCTGGACGAGTGTAAGTCATCAGGTATATGAGGCAACCCACCAGCTCTGCGTACAGACCACTAGGCTCTACCGACTCCTCAGGGACTGGAGCCGAGAGCGTGTGATCTACTTGCAGAGGTGTGGACTGCGCGGAGGAGAACTGAAGACCGAACCTCTGAAGGACCTGGCGCACCAAGTGTTACTGTATGAGAGTGATGGTGCGCGCTGCTCTGTCCCTGGAGATCTGAAGCCCAAGGTAGCGGTGCAACTCTCCTAAGTCAGTACAGGTGTGTCTCCTCCGCAACTCGGCCTTCACCGAGGCCAGAGCGTCTCTGTCTGTAGTAGCAAAGACCAGGTCGTCTACGTAGACAAGGATGTAGAACAGGGTCTGTCCTGAATGGACAAAGAGTGAAGGGTCCGCAGACGACAGGAAGAACTGTAATTCAGCTAACGTAGCACGCAGTGTGTCGTGCCACTCACGAGGCGCTTGCCGCACGCCGTAAATTGGGCGCCGGAGGAGCCACTCGGTCCCAGGGGCGAAGGTGACGGTGAGCCTCGGCGGACGGTGCAGGTAGACCTGCTCGTGTAGACTGCCCTGGAGAAACGCTGTGGAGAAGTCTAGAGAGTGCAGCTCATAGTCACGCTGAGCTGCTACGTGTAGCAGCGCCCGAAGAGTGGTCATCTTCGGGGTCGGGGCGGCCTGAAAGATTCAACACCCTCGCGCCGACCAAAGCCTCTAGCAACGTAGCGCGTCTTGAATACTGGCGGCTCTCTAGGAGGGCGCTTCACCTTGAAGAGCCACCGGCCATCGACTACGTTCACCCCAAGTGGAGGAACTGCGTCGACGTAGGTGGCGGTGGATCTCCAAGATGCCATCTCCGCGTCCATGGCAGCTATCCACTGAGAGGCCCAGGGTCCCGAGGTCGCCTCAGCGTAAGTGCGAGGGGTCGGTATGTCAAAGGTGACTGTAACACCCTCAGGGACTAGCAGCATGGAGCAGAGATGAGGGGCAACCTCGGACAAGAAAGCAAGCTCATACTGCTGGTCATCGAGGACGTCACTGCCGAGGGCAGGAGCACCCCTGACGGACGGAGGACGGGCAGGGTCAGAGACTAGAGCAGTGGCGTAATCAAGGCGATGGGTAGAGGCAAAGTCAGTGATGGCAGCAACAAGAGCGTCAAGGCTCAAGACAGGAACAGACGGGTTGGTAACGAGGGAGGCAAGGACTCGAGGAACAAGAGGACTAGCAGCATGAATGTAGTCGGACAAAGGAGGCGGAGTGACAACAAGCAACGACGAAGGAGGCGACGAGAGGAGGGGAGGATGAGACACCTGGGAACGGAGCAACATAGGGTGAGAGCGCTGAACAGGAGAGACAGGATGGGCACGAGAGGGACGGTGAGACCAGAAGTGGGACGGAGGCGTTGAATCAGGGGACATTGGAGGAGACACAGGAGGAGAACAATGGGGGAAACGAGCCAAAGACGAGTCCGACAGTGGAAACGCAGGGCCGTAGAGAGGCAGGGGAGGCGGCTGCGGGGGAGGCGTAGGCGGGTGGTCAGGGGAGGGAAGACTGAGGAGGCAAAGGGCGGACACCGGCGGCGTCTGCTGCTCCTGCTGCTGATCCACACCGACACCAGAACCTCCAACTGCACAACGGGTGCCTCCGGGTCTCTCCACGCCAACACCCCCAGAACGAGAACCCTTTCCAACAACAGTGCCACCCCCAGAACCACCACAAGCCATGTGCCCAGTGCAGACCCGGGTTCGATTACTGGCTAGCACATGGTGTTTTATTTTTG